GAGTTTGATGTTGAGACTGTGTTGAAATGTTTTACCTCCCAGCGTTGTGAATTTTTCTAGGCGAATATTTTGTGCAGACACCGTCGTCGTGATGTTCAACTGATTTGTCCAGTCCTGTTATAGATGTGAATTTATCAATAAAATATCTTTGTTTTCTTTATCAGTTTCTCCACTGGTGTCCACTTGTTTCCCCCAACTGTTCCGCACACCTTTCACGCATACGCGCCGCGCGCGCACACTATTTTTTTTTTAATGCTGTGTGTATTATGTTAATAAAAAGACAATGTATTGACCGGAACTCATAGAAAGAATTATGTTAAGGACAAAGTGACCCATAGCATATCTGATCCGCTGCAATACGCTTATGGCCGCAGAAAATATCCTGGGAATTGATATCTCTAGAGAACTACAGCGAAGGGTTGACAGAACATCTAGAGAAGAAATGTTTACCTATGAGGTGTCTTTTTTCCGCTTAACGATCACCGACTGTAAACTAAGGTCTGAAGTCCTGGTTGTTTATCAGTTTCGGGACTTGGGTCTTATATAGATCTTGCTTATTTGTGTGCCGACTGTTGGTTCCTCCTTTCTCGCAGATGCGGCCGGGCTTTTGGGCGGAGCACGTCTGTCCTATCTTATTGGCTAGGCCCCTGTTGGAAAATCTATTTTTAGGATAACTGGGGGTGGGGGGGGGGGGTAGGGGGTAGTTTTAGATATGTAGTAAGTAATCGTAGTTCCAAGTAAATAGCAAACAGGTGGTCTCATGATTGCTTTATTCCTGTGCCAATGAAAGCCTCACAGGATGTCCGTCACTGTCCGTTGTGGACACCCCCCTCCCCCGCCATAAAAAATGACACAGACTACAGTCTTAGTTAATCCAGCAGCTTCTTTTGTTAAATGCATAGGGCTGCAGTCAAAAGTGCCGACACATGCAGTCCAACACAAGAAATGCAATCCATCGTTAAGGAAAGCAGCAGTTACAACAGATCAGTAGTTGCACATGAAATAATCGCATAAAGCACCACAAGCTCTCTGGCAACAGACCATTCTCCGTTTTTCTCAATCTGCAGTTCACATGTAGACAGGTAAATAGAAACAGATAAATGAAACCTTTTAACTGAGTACAATATCAACCATAATCAAAGGTAACTGTTTGTTTTACCAGCGAGCGGATGTTCACGTTGTGTTTTTATTTTCCCAAATCTGAATGGAAATAATTCTTCAAGAAATCTTGACCAATCCTAACCTAACCTGTCCTAACCGGCAATACTAACACGTTCGTGTCGTGTCGTTGTTGACTGCTTGGCGGCAGGATTACAATTGAGCCAAGCAATTCACCCTTCACAGCTAAAATGTAAAATCTCTCACTCGCTTTTTTCTTCTTCTTATTCTTCTTCTTAACGTTCCGGCGCAAAGTTCTGGACTGTGGTGTTGTTCCAGACCTTGAGTTTTGCATATATACGTCTGTTTTATAGATCTGGCTTATTTGTATGCAGACTGTTGGTTCCTTGTCTATAAATCAGAAAGATGCACTCCCAGTTAGTCATCTTTTACGACATGCTTGTTAGGAGACAGTAGATTTATCCTCCTCCCCTCTCCCGTCCCCACCCCCCACCCCCGCCCTAGACCGGGCGCGAAACTCACTCTCAAAAGTAACTGCCATAAAAACTATTCATGGTAGGTTGAAGTTTGCAGCCGAAGTTTTATACAGAATGAAGAAACTGGCAGATGGCTGAAAACTGTTATTTTAATCAAAGCCAGATAACGGGTTAATTAAAATGTTACAGAAAAATTATCAGGATAACATGGACCAAGAAGAGGAAAAACATCGACATTCTACACGAGGAGAACTGGCTCATAAACAGTGTCCTGTCCCGAAAGTTGAAGTTTTTTGGCCACATCAAACGTCATGGTGGCTTGGAAAAGACGGTGATGGAGGGTTCGGTTTGTGGAAAGCGGGGCAGGGGTCGACCTCCGCGAGTATGAATACAAGACATTGAAGCGGTATCGACATTGAAAGCACATGGGGCTGGCGAGCTGGCTAGGGAAAGGGATACTTTCAAGTATGCCGTGAAGAGAGCGACGTTCTGTAAAGGACTTGCTGATGATGAGATGACGGGAACCGTTTACGTAGATCACGGTGTCGGCTGATGAACGCTTGTGTTTGTCACTACATAATTAACAACACAATTGCTGATCCCAAGCTCGGATGAAAAAGAAGGAGGGTTGAGCGTGGGGCCAGATCCCCAAGCCTGTAAAAAAAATTATTTGCTACAGAGAGAGGCCAACGGTTCCGGGACTTGATTCCATCCATGACGTTGAACTAATTACACAGGATATAACGGAATGGGGAAATAGACTGAGGGCCTATATGTGACATGTAAAAATGAATGGAACAACGCAACAGCTGATAAACTTTTACATTGTGCACTGAAATTGAAAAACACTTTCATATTCTACAAAATATAAAAAAAAAAACACGGTAGCTTAATTAAAAGCTTTTGCCTGTATCACTTTATTGTCATTGGGTCGAGAGGTAGAAACCCAGGCGAAATGAACTGGCATCACAGCACTGGGGAAATTCCGATAAGCGCTCATTCCCCATCTACAGCAGCAAGCGCAGTTTACTTGTAGCTGTTACTCTGCATTGAGCAGATCTGTCTCTACCTTTCTTAACATGCACCATGAACTAGTTAAAATCCTGAAGTTTGTGTGTGCAGCTGGTTCGCAAGATGGCGAAGGCTACAGTGACTATCCATACCTCCATTCTCAGGCTAGATCTTGTGGTATCATATGCCAGGCTTTACTGCATTGAGCTCAGTCTATTCACTTTTTAAATAAACACCATCCCGCTCCTTCTGTCTTTCATCACAAAGCTATTTTATCTGTAGCGATTATCACATCACGTTGAGTGGCAATTGTCTGACTAATTGGTTAAAACACTTGATTCTGCAGCACCCGCTGGCCACTCACTGCAGTCACTGCCCGATGTGGTTTTAACCTTGCACGTTTGATTATTGCTCGCACACTTTGATCCACTTCTCTCCTCACAAAATATTCTTACGCCTGTACACATGTCTGATTGCGCCTTCAGCTTGCGCCATCCAATTACCTACCTCCCCTTTTGGTCTGTGGACCTTCATCTCAACCTCATGCAGGAGGTGCTTCTCGTCTGAAGCTACTCTGTGTCTTCGCTTGCAGCAGATTGAGCCTGTCTATAAAGTAGGCAGTGCAAGTATGCAATTGGTGTATCTCTTGTACATCCCAGAATTACCCCAGAACCGGGGTTTCCACATATTTCATATGGAAAACAAAACCTGATAAATTATGATCACTGCAAGAAGATAACAAATCTAGATATGCATAGAAAACCAGTTCTAGCAAGCTAATTATTTTGTATTTAGGAAGCACAATATCATCTTAAATGAAAATGGAAGCAGAGGTAGAATATAGATGTAACACACAAATTACTGCATAGATGTCACCATTATTACAGAACAAACGTGTAATGATTAACACTAAAAGAGCACTATTTAATACATTATTTTAACCGACGTGTTGCCAAACATGGACGTTATACACAAAAGAAACCACTGAAACAGGCATAAAATGTCTACGACGAATTCTTAAATGTAAGTAAAAGAGGTAGGATCAGAAACGATAACATCAAGAAATATGGTGTGGCTGAACCAGTACTACGCTTCACCAAGATACTATATATAGGATGGTTAGAACGGAGTCAAGACTACCACCAGATAGTGAATCACAGTTACTTAGACACAACTGAAGCAGAGCAAGAGGTCGACCACGCAAGCCGTGGATAGATCACATGTCAGACACCCAGAATACCAACATCTGTCTAGCATATCCCAAGGCTGGCACTGAATGCATCTTGAAAACTTGACCCTGAAAGGCAGAGCAGAGTCTAGAGCTGAGGACCTCAACCTTCCTAATACAGTTCTTCATGTTGTGGCGACCCCAGACATACAATTATTTTCGTTGCTTCTTCATAACTTAAATGTTATTTGTTTTCTGATGGTCTTATACGAACCCTGTCAAAGGGTCGTTCGACCCCAAAAAGGGTTGCCACCCACTGATCTAGACGGAAGTAATACTACCTCTCTGATCTTAACCAAAAGGCTGAGAAACGATATCATCGTCTAGCATACGTCTGACAGAACATGTCTGTTATCAAAACCCAGAATATGCCAGTTTCCAGTGTTCGCGCGCGCGCTCGCGTGTGTGTGTGTGTGGGGGGGGGGGGGGGCAGCTTCTTCTTCTTAGTCCACACCGTGTACCGTTGGTAGTCATGTCTATCCACAACCTTCTGTCTCCTGTACTTTCAGTCAACTCTTTTGATACAGATGATCCTCCATGCCATGATGTCCAACTGTCTAGCATCTTTTCTCTCGCCCGCCTCTCCGCCACTCCATCTGTACAACTGTCTTGAAGTACTCCAGTTTTCTCCTTCTCATCCCATGACCAAAAAATGTAGATGGTCTCTTACTGATGTGGGCTGTCAGTTCTCTTCGTGAGACTTTTTTTCTCTTCAAGATATCTAATTACTCTTTTCATTCGTCCACCCCAGCTAGGGCTCTGTTAATTTATTATGTACTGACTTGAAAGACCATCACTCACTCTCTCTCTCTCTCTCTCTCTCTCTCTCTCTCTCTCTCTCTCTCTCTCTCTCTCTCTCTCTCTCTCTCTCCCTCTCTCTCTCTCTATGTCTCTCTCTCTCTGTGTCTCTCCCTCTCGCTCTGTGTTTCTCTGTGTGTCTCTCTCTGACTCTCACTTTCGCTCTGTGTCTCTTTCTCTCTGTCGCTCTGTCTCTCTCTGACTCTCACTTTCGCTCTGTGTCTCTTTCTCTCTGTCGCTCTGTCTCTCTCTCTCTCTCTCTGTGTCTCTCTGTGTGTCTCTCTGTCTCTCTGTGTGTGTCTCTCTCTCTGTGTCTGTGTGTGTGTCTCTCTGTGTATCTGTGTGTGTGTCTCTCTCTCACTGTCTCTATGTCCCTCTCTCTGTCTGTCTCTCTCTCTCTCTCTCTCTCTCTCTCTGTGACTCTCTCACTCTTTTTACCCACCCCCCCCCCCCCACCCCCCTCGTCCCCTCATTTCCCCCAACACCACTGGACCCGTTTCCAGGAATCGGAAAAGTTCATATACCCGCAAATTGGAGGAAACAGGCTGTTCCGTAAATCCCGCCGCAGTGACGAAATATTTGTAAACACACAACTCTTCCTACTCGGTGCGCAGTTATAAACATGTGACTGTTAGCGCCTTCTGGGATACTCTGTATGTGCCTTGCATTGGACCCTATTTCCCGGATAATACCTACCCTGAAATACCCACCCTGAAAGTAGGCCTAGCAGAAGGCTTGTAATATACGACACACCCTCAGATATAAACTCTTGATAGCAATCGTCAGCCAAACAGATTTATATTGTCCTTTGAAACATGTCAGGTGTGTGGCAGGGTGTTTGTAAAGTCTTACTACACTTTATGTTCATAAACAAATCTGGAGAGATAAAAATACCAAGTACATAGCGTCATTATAAATTGTGCTACAAAGGTTATCAAATTAGTTACAGTAGTCGCTGCTATACAAACATTACACCCCCCCCCCCCCCCCCCCCCCCCCCCCCCCCCCCCCCCCCAAAAAAATTATCTGAGGTACAAGGAAGAAGAGAAGAAGTAGAAGAAGTTACTGCTATGGTCTAGCACTGTTCTGGAGAAACTGGAAAGTACCAACAAAATATTCATTATAACTTATTTAAAAAAAGACCTAACCGTAATGAGATGATGAGGTTGTTTATTAGAACATCTTGCTATAAATCTTTGAAAAATTATCCGTATGTATCGTTGGAACATAATTAATCCAACAGATGACAGCCAGTTACTGCGTATTGCTTCATGATTGACTGTAGAGCACATATTTTGATGACGTCGTCTCTTTTTTCGTTTCCCAGATTTGTTCTACACAAAAAGTGTAGTTTTACTTTACAAACAACATATATATGTCAACACACGACGCTGTAGACAATAATGCTTTAAATAAATAGTGATATATATGTAGACTTTTGTACATACAAAATAATAAACCATATTAATTGAATCGGCCGTCGTTTGGAGCGAGTGTTGATTTATTATTGTCGGGAAAATACGATGGTTACTCTTGCCTGCCTGGTGTGTATCCCATTCCGTTTGTGTGTGACTTTAGCTTATGTCAGGTCAGATGGTATTTATTTATACACACACCATGTACACCTTGACACCTTGTCTTGCGTCATTTCATATTTTTCCAATGAATGTACAATGTAATGTATTCTATGACTGAATGTATAGTTTCGTGTATACTATGATTAAAGTATAATTTCACATATTCTTTCGTGTGTGTGTGTGTGTGTGTGTTTGTGTATAATTTCACTAATTCTGTCTTGAATACATTGTTCACATAAAAGCGACGCTGGAGAAGCCTAGGGTGTTATTAGAGCAATAGTTTACTAGTTGTAAGAATTGAATGCGACTTAGCTGGGAGAAAATCGTGCAGGGGTATCAGAAGACATATATAGGTAAGGGTATCAAAAGATACGTATAGGTAAAGGTATCAAAAGACACGTTTGGAAAATATATCAAAAGAAACGAATAGGTAAGGGTATCAAAAGACACGTATAGATAAGAATATCAAAAGACACGTATAGGTAAGGGTATCAAAATACACGTATAAATAATGGTATGAAAAGACACATATAGATAAGGGTATCAAAAGACAGGTATAGATAATGGTATGAAAAGACACGTATAGATAAGGGTACCAAAAGACACGTATAGATAATGGTATCAAAAGACACGTATAGATAAGGGTATTAAAAGACATGTATAGGTAAGGGTATTCAAGGACATATGTAGGTTAGGGTTTTAAAGAACACAATAGACAGCTAAAGAACACACAAGACAGTTAAAGAACTTACAAGACAGCTGAAGTTTGAAACATTACATACACTAGATGCAAGTAAATCTGACCCTGTATCATCACTAATAACATCTTTCCAGACAATAATGTTACAAAGACATGGGTCTGAACAAATTTTTAAGGGGATTTTCTTATGTATGATTCTCATCCCTGGGATGTTAATCCAACAGACAGATATCCTGGAATGGAACACAACAATAACTAACTATGGAAATCGTAGCCCATGGTAATGGCGAGTGTGACGGGCAAGATCCGCTGGTGTTGAGAAGAATGTTCCACAATATTATTAAAAGCCACAAATGGTTGTTCCCGCGAATTAAGAGGTGAGGAAAACTTGCTGGTGTTGGATAGGACGCCCTCTGGGAAAAACTCGATAGCAATATAACTAGTATGTTTCGGCACTGGAATCCAGTGTCGTTAGTCGAGGTTGTTAACTTCATTGCAGAGGGATCTCCGTGTAAGTGCTTCTTTCTTTAGTGCTAGTGGAAATCACACACGATGTTGCCACGGCCCACGACCGACTCTGTTTGGAAAAGGCGGTGCCACGGCCAAACAGTGATCTATAAAAAAAAAAATTGGAGTTTAGCTTCATTTTCCCGAAAACAACACTGACTTAGTCTCAATCGTAGTCTTAGTCGAGGTTTCAACTTCTCTGCAATTTCCATACTAGTTCCGTTCCTGTGCTAGTGCAAATCACATGAAATGTCCTTTGCTGTCGAATCTGAAAAACTGGTGAAGAAACTACTAGTCCACAAACAATCCAGAAATATGTGCACGCAGCAGATGCATATTTCAGTCGCCAGAGGTGCCAAAGCCAACAGTCTGATCCAGAAATGCAGTTTGTGGTTGACGGCTTTGTTTGTTTGTTTGTTTTAGTATCCAGAAGCCATAAGTTGTTAACCCTTAAGGCTCGGTATTATGGATATCGCAACCTTTCGGCCTTGATTCCATTGTAAATACCGTAAATCTGGGAGAAAATGTGACTTTCCTGCCTACCCCCGGAATTGAACCCGGACCACAAGGAGTCCGTCACCCGGTCTCCGCGCAATCCGGTTTAGCCAACTACGCTAGAGAGCCGGGTGGTTGATGGCTTTAAACGGGTTCTTTACTTACTTTACAAACACACTGGTACATTTGAAGCGATGGTTAAAAACTAGTTTGCATACTTCTAGTATAGCGTGTCCTCCTTGTGACTGTCCCCCAAAGAACTGTCTTTCTCCTGTTACTGCCCTGTCCTGCGACAGTACTGCTACTGTCCTGCCCCAACAGTACCCACTAGCTTTGATGCCAGAACATGGCGGTTCAGTCACCTGGAGCATCCCAACAAATTATTAACCTGCTAAGCTGCATCCCCTACGCCCTACACTACATCATGTACTTTGAGTTGTTGTTTATAACGTCATGTCATCTCAAAAATATCATTATATTTATTTGCCATTTAGCAGATTATTACTATTATTATTATTATTACTATTATTATAAGTATTACAGGGTTATCAAGAATGATTACCGGGATCATAAATTGTTATTTTATAATAAGTATTTCATGGATATACACCATGTGGCGTCCGTCTTAGACTGTTCGGGAAAGTCTACAGTTGTGTGTGACGTTGGGCGACCGTGAGTTTTAAAACGGTGATGAAAATATTAGCAACACCCAGCGCAAGTTTACTACTTTAGTGAACATTTTAAGACTTACATCCATTTAAAAATTCTTTCACGAAAGAAGTCTACAATCCCCGCAGTCATTTTTGATGACCCTGTATTATGGCGTCTGTGTTTTAGGCTTTGCAAACATGGTTTGTAATTCCGAGATACTCAATTTGATTTGGCAGCTGACAGTTTGTGTTGATTTCAACAATGTTATCAAGAGTTGACTGGTCAGTAGACACTGGAAACTACTGAAAAGTTCAAATAAATATTGGACTTGGTTCTAAAACGCCCTGTACAGAACATACAACTATTTTTTTTTTCAAACAAGACTAGGACCCTTTTGAGAGCTCCTTCCTATTTTTCATGAATATGTTTAAAATTGGGTTCCCGAAAGATTTCTCTGTGGTGACGATCCTGCCGTACTGTGACTGTTCCCTGAATGGTGAAAATATGAGGGTGCCTGCAGTCAAGCTAATACACAGGAATTCTTGAGAAATGGGACTAAAAAGCTCAACAAAATGGGGCAGCACAAAACAACACAACGTTTGTGTAGTTCACTTATGTTTGAAAAAGGCTGCCTGGCCGGAACGTTACTTTGTGTTGTTTTGTGCACGTTTTTCTGCTTTCCCATTTTGTTGAGCTTTTTAGTCTAATTTCTCTGGAATTCCTGTTCCCTGCAGTATTGTCCAGCCCTGTCGTGTAACCGCTAGCACATGGTTTTATAGTGCAACTGAATATGTATGTGTGGATATTAGTTGTATCTATTGATTTGTGTTGTCAGTAGTGGATATGTCCAGCGTACCATGATGTAAACATTGAACACCTTCATACTTGTTCTCCTTGTGATCTTTATTGTCAAATGTGATCTGTTATTGGACAGAATAAATACATTTTCACGATTTTTATAGCTCGTTTTCACATTCATTTCTCTGAGTTGAGTTAAGGTGGAAACGAAAAGATAATACAGGTAAGGCAGTTATGGAGGGTCGACGAGCCATAGGCCAGGCTGATATAATGAATGTTCTACAAGAAGCAAGCATTCGCGAGAACTAAGTGATGACTGAATTTGCAACCATGTCCAGGCTACAAGAACACGAGGTTACAATGAGGTGTGGCCAGACAAAAGCACTCACAGGAGCCAAAGACGAATAACTGACACGGAACTGGTGTTGTCAACCGCTATAGGCTGCAGGATTTACTGAGAAGGGGATCCGAGCACTTATGGACTGAAGGGTTCCATGTGCAACGAGGATCTATAAGTACTTCGTCCCCCTCTTCATCAGCCAGAAGAGTTCTACTTGATGGTTCCGCAGTAGTCCGATTATGTGTCAGTCTCGCCTTTCCTCTCAGTGTTTAGTGTTTCCAGATTGCCTGCTAACTTCCCGCTACACCTTTCTCTTCAGACAGTAATAATCTATTTGTGCCTTTGCACTGTTCATTTGCCCCAAAATGTCTTTGATAGCATTTAGCTTGTCGTGCATAAATTTAACACTAATGATGAAGCACCTGCCTATCTCTCAGCCTGTTCATTTCCCAGCACACCTTTAAGGCCTGGAGAAAAGATCTAAAGCACGGTAACTACCGGAGATATAATCTCCTTATCTGTTGTTTATATATTAACCATTTGCCAGTCAGT